TACCATTTGTTTGGGACTGCCATGTACTATCTGCAATGTGTATGACCATTGCAACTGGTTTTCAATGTTTTGTATTACATGTTAGAATGTTTACCATTTTGTTGAAATTCTTATTGAAATGGGAGATACTAAATATCAAATATGTTTGATGTATCTTCATAACAACTAAGACTATAGAAGTGATTACATTTTGTTTTAAGATAATTTACCTCACCCTAAAAAGTTGTTAATTTTTCAAGATTGGTATTTGATAAGTGCTCACTTTCATTCCAAATTTATGTAGACAAAGATAAAAAAAAAAACCTGTTGCGCATGTTCATGGTGCCTTTTTTAATAATGATGAAAAATATATATAACTTTTTTATTTTTATAGCATGATGCTGCTTATAATTTTGGTCAGAAAGATAGTTTATCATTAGGTCATTAATCTAAGCTGGAGAAACTTTTTGATATGTAAAGGAAACATGCTAGGCTAACCAAAAAGATATAGTTATAGGCACTTTTACTTTTGCAGCTGAATAGATTTTTGTATTATTTGGTCTACTGCAGATTAGCTGCCATATACAGATATCTATATCTTCTAATGAACAACTTTGAAAACTACTTAAGTGAGATTTCATATGTTTTTAAGATAATGCACAAGAATGAATAGATGTACCACTGAGGATATAGAATGATTACTAGAATCTTTTGTCATACATTAATGCTCAGGAACTAATAATAACTTTATTAAAAAGTTAACATATGGCAGATCTCATTAATTTATATGTTCAGCTTTGACTACGCTGTGTCACAAACTGGATTATCATAATGATCATTTGCATTTTTTACATGTGATGAATAATTGTATGGGTGTATTTGTTTTCATATTTGATAAGCATATCCTGCATTTTACATATATTTATACTGGCTTTGATGTATGAAGTCTTGTGTATAAATGAAATTTTCAGGACACGAGATGGATGTGTAGAAAGCCATTGTTTATATGTGTAAATTAAGCATGGATGAGCTTCTGTGTACTTGATCCAATGTTGCACATAAACAGATGAAAAGATAGTTGTTTATTATTACTCCATAGTGCAGATACATTTTGATTGGATCCCAGTCACTCAAGCCTAACGTTTTTTTATGTGCAAGAGGCAATGTTGCATTCATCTTTTCACGACCTATCAGAAGTCCATTCAATCTCTCTTAAGAGCAGGTTTTTGAGGCATCTCTAACTACCAACCCCACTGTGTTGTTCCCCAAATAGTTCAGCTAGACGGCAAAGTTCCTGATTTTATTCTGGTCCCAGAGTCACACAAGACTACTGGAAATCATCTTAAGCAATTGGATCACAATCAAAGTACAAAATATTTGGTTTCTGGTCAATCCATAAAAAGATGACAAAAAAGGTGAAAGAAAAACTGTTAATTTTTCATACAAGTTAATGGTTAGAGGTGAAATTAATGTACTAAACATCAGAGGTCATATAGCACTATAGGAGATATAATTAACTGGAAAGGGTAGAGATAGGGGATGGGGTGTTTGTTAGGTGTTATACGTTAGTGTTTATGGAGTAGTAGGATGATACTTAGAGGATTAACATAGTTGGGTAGAGGTGGAGGGGTGAGTGATTGGGTTAAGTTAGGATAAAAGAGAGAGGATTAGATCAAGTGGAGGATGTGTATGTTTTTGAGGGAGATTAGGTTTTGTATATAGAAAGTATGGGATTCCATTAGGATGTCTGATAGGTTGGGAGGTCGTTGTAGGGAAGATATGTGAGGAAAAGCAGCAGTTTGGGTTGTGAAATGTGGGCACGACAACAGGATGTGTGAAACTGAAATGGGAACATTACAGGAGGAACATAGGGGTGGGTCTGATCTTGACATGAGGTATGAGTGGGTAAGACGTGTATGGCCAATGCATAAGTGGGCTAGAGCTGTTTCCCAGCATCTGTTTTTATGGAAGGAAGTTGACCAGGAGGAGATTGTTGGTTTTATTGAATGTAATTTATTGGTGGTAAGACTTGTCCAGAAGGTTTGCCATCGTGTATAAAGAAAGGTTTTAAAATGAGGGTAATAATCTATGGCTGGGATTTTTGAGAAATTGGGGTTATGTGATGTGGACTTGGTGGCTGAGCGAGCTTGAGTGTCTGCTCTTTCATTGCCTGGTACTCCTATGTGGCTAGGTACCCAGCAAAAGTTGATAGTTTTGTATCATGTGAATTTTGCAGACAAGGGGGTTAGTTGAGGGTATGGATTTTATGAGAGTGAGTGAGTTTCGTGAGTCGGTAAAAATTGTGAAAGAGGAGGAAGAGAGAGTATATGTGTTTTAAGGCAAAGAGGATTCCATATAATTCTGTAGTGAGAACACTAGACTCAGGAGGTAGAGGGAATTTAAATGTGTAGGTTGGGAAGAGGGTTTTGTGGTCCGCAAAACCTGCTCCAAATGTGGTTTTGCAGCCATCAGTGTAAACATGCGTACTTGAGGAGTGAATAGGAATATGGTTAAGAAAGTGAGTGGGAAGAACAGAGGGAGGTATATCTGACTTTGGTGGGTCAGGATATACCAAGGAGCAAATTTGGGGGCAGGGTATATGCCATGGAGGAACTGAATTGACAGAGAAGGGTAGAGGTTGGAGAATTGGAAAGTGGGAATGGGAAAGGAGAGTATTCATGCGGACGATAAAAGGAGTTGGTAAACGGGGAGATGAGGTAAAGGTAGAAATTAGGGATTGAGGAATAGTTAATTTGGCAAGGGAGTGTTGGTGAAAGTGTGCAAAGCATCGGAGAGAGAGAAGGGTGTGGCGTTGAGAGAGATGGTATGCCTGACCCTGTGTACAGGCTCTCAACTGGGGAGGAACGGAATGCTCCTAATGCTAATCGGAGACCGTTATGATGAACTGTATCTAATTGATTAAGAAGTGTGCTAGAGGCAGATGAGTATACATGGCATCCATAATCAAGAGTAGAGAGGACCAGGGTTGTGTGAAGATAGAGAAGAGTTTTGTTGTCTGACCCCCATGATATGTGGGACAGAGTTTGTAGAATTCTAAGGCGTTTTTGAGCTTTTTCTTTAATGGAGAGAATATGGTCTCACCAGGATAGTCTGGAGTAAAAAATTACTCCAAGGAACTTTCCCGAAGAGCGGTATTGTAGAGGAGTGCCGTATAAGAAGAGAGAAGGTTGAGGTTTTGCACGTTTGCGTGAGAAGAGGATAGAAAAGGATTTGGTGGTGGTGAAATGAAAGCTGTGATTAGTGGTCCAGGAAGATGCTGATGATATTGCTGACTGGAGGAGTTGTTGGAGAGAGTGTATGGATGGACTGGAGGTATAGATGATTAAATCATCAACATAAAGTGATGATCGGGTCCCTGGTGGTAAAACTGATATAATGTTCACAGCTATAAGAAATAAGGTAGTTCTGAGAACACTGCCTTGTGGGACGTCTTCGATCTGAGGGTAAGAGGATGAAGTGGAAGAAGCAATTTTGACTTTGAAGGTGCCATTGAAAAGGAAAGATTTTATAAAGACCCCCATGTTTCCGCGTATGCCTAGAGTGGACTGTTGTTATAGGATATGATACCGCCATGTGGTATCATATGCTTTCTCCAAGTCAGAGAATATTGCTATGGTGGATTCATGGTGTGCAAATGCGGATAATGTGTCTCAAAATGAGCAAGGGGGTCTGCTGTCCTTTTGGTACGACAGAATCTAAACTGTGAAGAAGAGAGAAGGTTATTTGATTCTAAATACCACATTAGTCGTGACTTTACCATTCGCTTTAGTAGCTTGCATAAGCAGCTTGTTAGAGCAATGGGGCCATAATCTTGTGGGTGGGTACCTGATGTATTTGGTTTTAAGAAAGGAAGAACGAGGGCTTCATTCCAGTGAGTGGGGAAATATCCCGGTGTCCAAATTTTTAAGAGGAAGGATAAAGAGGATGATGGGAGGTGTTTGAGCATACAGTAGTGGATAATGTCAGGGCCTTCATGGGTATTACAGCATGATCGTAAGGCAGTGTATAATTCTGTAGAGGAAAAGGGAGTATTGGATGGTTCATCTGAAGAGAGGGAAAATATGATAGGAGTTCGTTCTTTGGTGATTTTAATGGAAGTGAAATGTGGAGAAAGATGAGAACCGATATGTGAGTATTTCTGATACAGTGGACTGGGGCTGGGTGGATGTTTGCCTGATATTTTGTGAACATGTCGCCAGATAGCAGATACAGATGTTTTGGATGTGATTGAGGAGACGTATGTTTTCCAGCTCGTTATTTTACTATTTCGTATTGTATATCGGAGATGTGCTGATACTTTTTTAAAGGATATGAGAGCAGATAGTTGGCAGGGAGTGTCTCGTTTACATTTGTAGCTATTCCATGTTGCGCATTTTTGGCGGAGCGCCTTAGTACATTCTGGGTTCAACCATGGAATGTATTTAGACGTATAAGGTCTAGTGGTTTGGGGAATGGCTGTGTAGGCAGCTTTTAAGACTTGTGTTGAGAATTTCTGTATTTTGTCAGAAATGGGTGATAATTGGAATGATGGGTGAGTTATGGTAATGTGAAAAGTGAAAGTTTGCCAGTCAGCTCTATCAAAGCACCATCTAGGGGGGTTAGGAAGTGAGATATAGGAAGTAGGGGTAAGGAGGGTAGGAAAGTGGTCACTATAGGGGTATTGGTCTCGGACTGACCAATGATAATCCAAGTAAAGAGAAGGAGAGCATAGAGAGAGGTCCAGGCATGAAAAAGATTGAGTACGCATGTCAAAATGTGTGGGGTGTTCAGAGTTAAGGATAATGAAGTCAGTTGTGGAAAGGAAATAATCTAGGGATCTACCACGTGAAATTGTGATGGTATCACCACAGAGAATGTGACGGCAGTTGAAACCTGTTATAATGAAGGGTGGTTGTAGTTGAGAGAGTAATGTTTTGAAAGTGTTAAAGTCAACAGGAATAGAGGGAGAAAAGTAAACTGAAATAACTGCTATCCATCGTTGGAGAAAAATACAAATAACAGTGCAAGGAATAGTGGTTTGGATAGAGGGTTTAGTGTATGTAATTTTTTGATGAATTAGTATTGAAGATTGAGTGATAGAGTGAGGGAATGATATGAAATGGTAATTTGGAATTGGTAATGAGAGATGTGTTAAGAAGGTTTCTTGTAGACAGATGATGGATGGGTTGTAGGTAGATATGAGATGTCTCTGTGAGAACGGAAACCTCGAATGTTCCATTGTAATAAAGCCATGATTATTTGAAGGGTGATAACGACAGGTATGGTTGTCTTAATAATAGGGGATTAGGTATCTGAGAGTTGAGGTAAAGGATCAGGAGTAGTGATCTGGGATTCAATAGGGAAGATAGGGTCTGGGGGAGTGTATTGTAATAGAAGAGATTCAAGTGTGTATCCAGGGGGGAGTGGGAGGGATAGTAGGGAAGGATAGGGTTTTGGGGGGAGTATTGGTTTAGGTGGTTGAGAGGATGAGGTTTGGGTAGACAGATAGGGTTTTGGAGGGGGAGGTGGTTTGGGGGTTGGGAAGATGAGGTATGTTGGGAAAGGGTAGGGGGGGTAGGGTAGGAGGAGTACGGGTTAGGGGAGTAGGGGTAGGGGGGATATCAGAAGGAGGAGGATGGATGTCTGCAGTCACTTTGATTGTGGGTCAAGTGAGAATAGAGGTATTTGAGGGTGATTAAGAGAGGGTTATTTCCTTGGATTGTGCTCAAGTAAGAAAGGGTTTTTGGTTTGGGTAAGGGTGGTGGAGTGGATGGGGTGTGTTGGGAAGGTGTAGAAGGAAGAGGGGTTGGGGGATGTCAGGAGGGGGAGGGTGCATTTTGGCAGTCACTTAGAATATAGCTGGAATCTGGGTAGAGAAATTGATGGATGACTGGGAGAAACAAACTTTTTCTTGTGTCATACACAGAAAGTTTCTAATGTCTTCAAGGGTTTCTGGACGGGGAATTGGGTAGGGATGTTTGGGAAATGAAGGATCTTTTATGAGGGGGTAGGTATTTGAGGATATGAAAATGTAGTTGGTGTGTATAAGGTAGGTGAAGATGGGGTAGGGCATTTAGTTTATCTACTGTGGTGTGTGGGGAGTTGAGGAGTAGGTATAGGGGGGGTTGTGGATATAGGAGTATCTGGATTTAGGATGGAAAATGGATATGATTGGGAAATAGGGGTAGAGGAGGTAGGGTGAGGAGTAGGAGGAAGATGTATTGTTGGGGATGTAGAGATAGTCTGGGTAGAAGGGTGGGAGGGAAGAGGGATAGTGTTGGATAGTATTGGAGTAGGGTTTGGCTTCTCGTAGGGTAAGGCCGAGTTTGTATCTGAAAACTGCTACTTCAAATTCAAATTTATAGGTAGGACAACTCCTATAAAATACATTATGTGGGCCACTACAATTGGCACATGTACGAAATTTTGCATGGTAGTTTTCGCAATCATGACCAGGTTGGGCACATAAAGGGCATCTAGCTGTGGAGTGACAGTGCTGTGCAGGGTGGCCGAAACACCAGCATTTCTTGCGTTGTCGGGGAGGGGGTCGATATGGTCTGACTCGGTATGATTCTCCACCGATATAGAACTTAAAGGGAAGGTCATGTCTACAGAAGGTAATTGTGGCAATATTAGTGGAACTTTCGGCGACCTCTGGGGGGGATTGTGTAGCACTGTACTGATATTGCATCATATTCTGTAAGCAAGTCTAACAGTTCTTCACAATCTGACCATTCCGTTATACACAGGGCATATATTTGAGGGAATGGAAACAGTTCCTGTATAAGTATCCTGTACAGGGATAGGTTTACCAGTGAGGTCAACCAGGTTAGATATTGCACGGGCTTGAGACTCAAGATTCAATTGTGACAATTTTTTTTTTTTGAATTTTGTTGTACACAGATGGCCCCACAATTGCTCAGTCGCCAGGCAGTCACTTTGTAGAGTATTCCTAGATTTTTTGGGGGAAAATGTTTCATTACCCAATCATTCTCGAAGACCTAAAACATGACTGACTTTTTAGTATCTAGAGGTTTGAATACCAGCCTTCATTTTAACTTCTATTACATACTGCATGGGGAATTGAGTAAAAATATTATCGAGAACAAATTTATTGACTATGAAAATAACAAAATATAACTTTAAAAAATATATAAAAAGTATGGCATAAACCCCAAAACATTTCCTTCATATAGACTATGGATGTATATATATATTTATATGTTTACATGTACTAAATTACACACTATATAATAGTATATGTTTATATGTAAAAGACAAAATTACATGAATGCAACATAACAGTAATATTCTTAACAAATTAGAGCATATCTTATTTCAATCCAAGAGAGCCACATCATCCTGCCATGAAATTCCACTATCTCCATTAAAATAGGTTTTGAAACTATCTCGTACTATCTCTGCAGTACTGGCAATTTTTCTTGGGATGTCTTCAAGCTTTTCAATTCCTGGAACCTTTTTATGAGGAAGTGAGACACCACTGTCAATGTTTTCTGTTTCCAGCAATTCCTGTTGCAAAGGCACTCTGGAATGTATTCTTAAAAAATTATGGAGCACCACTGCTGCAAATATTGTGCTTAGTGCATTTGCTGGAGTTGCCTGAATAGGTCGCTGAAATACTCTGAATTTACCAGAGAGAATTCCAAAGGCATTTTCTGATACTCTGCGAGCACAAGATAATCTGTAGTTAAAAATTTTCTTGTCCATGGATAAGTTTTGGCCAGGGTAAGGTTTCATCAGGTAATCCTCCAAGGGAAAAGCATCATCACCTAGAATCACAAAAGGAACTTTCTCATTTACAGATGGTAATGTAGCAGCTGGTGGAACCTGAAGCATATTTTTGTCCAGATATTCTTTCAACCTACAATTGTCCCAGAAACCAACAGCATTTGCTTGGCCTTGTGCTTCTGTAGCTACATACAAGAACTTGTAGTTAGCATCAACAAGTGCTACCATTAATATGCCATGATAACCTTTATAGTCACAAAATTCTGGTCCAGTGTTTTGTGATTGAACAAGAAAGCGTTTTCCATCTATGGCTCCTATGCACATTGGAAAGTTCCAGTTACTGCTGAAATCACTAGCTATTTGTTGCCATTCATCTGATGTTTTTGGTAACTGCAGATAATCATCCTTTAAAACTAAATGTATTGCATTACAGACTTCAGGAATGATGCGAGTTATCAAACAGTGGCTTATCCTGTACTGCAATGCTAATGAGCGACGAGCTTCTCCTGTAATAAAGAAAATACAGAATATAAATAATTGCACTGTACAAATATCAAGGAACATCAAAATGTGGAAAGTACTTTGCTTCTAACAATGCATTAAATTAAATCAATAAAGGAAAATAATTGTAAATTATATCTGGAATTAACATCACAGATGATTCAGTTCTCAATAAAGATGATTATCTATTAATTAAATATTTTAAGAAAGGGACTCATCACTCAAAATAAAATATACCACACGTAAGTGTAATTTTCATAATAATAATTACTTATATGCGAAGATTATTAAGTTGAAAAGTTCCTTTTGCTTATTTAAAACCACACGCAAAACAATTTAACATCTAATTTTATTTTATTAGAAAAAAGTCGTCGTCCTTTTTCTGATCTGCATTAGGAAGAATTCAATTGCAAATTGTATGAATTGTCTTTTCCCCCTCCACCCAAATACATATTCCCCAAGCAGTCTCACTCTAAACAGTTACCACAGTATAACCCTAAAAGAAGGGCTATTAGAGGTGGTGCCTTCTTGCAATTGCATATGAATCATTAACTGAGTAGCATTAGAATACAGTAATCTATTTTACTTATTAGATTTTTTAAGTATGCTCATCTCACAATTTAGTCAATTTTCTATAACAAAAGTTTCACATGAGTTTCTTGAACTTTATGGATGTATGCTTAAAAACATTATGGAATCCACTCTTTCAAGCACAAAATCTTCCACAAAGGAATAATACCACAAAAATCAAAAGGTATAACAAAATAGTACAAGAGGATAAGAACAATGTATTTTTGAAACTGACAGCCCTAAAATTATGTTAAGATTTCCTCCAATCGTGAAGATTCTAGCATAAGAAAATTATGCTAAGAACTGTTGTGCATTACACAATTTTAAGCATAAGGCCATGAGACCCCATCCAGCTGTGATAATAAGTTTTGTACTCACCATGGTTTCCATATCTATAGTGTTCCATCACAGGCCAACAAATCTCCTATTTGGCAGGTTACAACTTGGACTGGCTCATTTATCCTAATGCTGCTTGGAATATGTGGTATTCACTGTGGTATTGTTTTGTGAAAAATATTAACAAACAGATGGCTCCAAGTGCAAAGATACCTTAGAGTCAATTAATAGACCTACATGCTCTTATTATTATTCATAGCAGCATTAATGGATAATGTTTTAAACAAATATTATACAAATGAATGTGCTAGACATCAAAATATCAATGTGAATTTTTTTTAAATATTTTGAAAGTCAAGGAAAAGGGTAATCAGGTCATACTAGATGAGAAAATATGACCAGTCACAACAATTTTGATATTGATGGATGTCTGTCACCCTATACTACCTGAATATACAGAAATAATGCCGCAGAAACCCCAACAATACCCGCAACCATGGCCCCAATAACAAGAGAGGACATGAAAAGTACTAAGGAAATTGTGGGGTAAAAAATAAATAACAGACAGAGACTTAGCCAATATAGAGTCACATAAAGAAACCACCACATGTACACAGCAGGATAGAACATAGAACAGACTCTGCATTCTTGCATGTTGGTCGTATGCTCTACCCTGCAATGAATATGTGGATGATTCTTTGTCTTCTAATGTGGGGCTCTCTTGCCCCCCAGGAGAGGAGTCACAGGGGACATGGCATTAGACAGCATAGTGACAGATTCATTGCTGCTAATACAGGGAATTCCATGAAATAATTTCTATATATTAAATAGTAGAGAGTATGAGGAATAACTGCTAATTCTTGACTGTGAGAGTAATATCAATGGGAAAGATTAACAATATTCTACACTTAACCCCTTCAATCTGGATGATGTTACGGTCCAGTCATGGAAAAATCTAGGTCAAGGGCTGGGTGACATGAACTTGTCGTCATTGGGAAAATGGCCGCAGGTCAGGTGACACAAACTTGCTGTCATGAGTGAAGGCCAGGGTGACGGAAAAGATCCGCCATGAATGTACAAACCTCTTGGGGTGTGACTTGACTCATTTGGTGCTTAGAAGGGGGTTTTAGCATTATTCCCATCGACAAAAGAATGTGCAATGTAATGTATGTAAGCCGTGACTGGAAGAGCACCAGCCCCAGGGAAGACACTATTTCCATGCTGCATGCCATATTCATAATAAGCCCCAACTAAAATAAGTACCAAACTAGATGGAATAAAAGTCTGACTGGAATAAAATTCGATCTTACCTGTGGCTAAGTATCGTAACGTTACAGACAGACGTTGTGCTGAAGGAATTGAGTCTCTTAATTTGGTGTTTTCTTTCTGAATGTGAGGCGACACCAAGGATAACAGTTTGTCGAAATTCTCCTTATTCATCCCATGGAAATCGTAGAACACGGGATCATCGTCGAGTCGCATTTCTTGAATTAATTTATCGAAGACACTCTTATTTTTTCTCTGTAACCACGGCTTTACCCATAGTCTCCTCTTTTTCTTCTTCGCAGGATCATCATCGGGGTGTATTTCAGACTCGCTTATATCTTTTCTTAGCAGATATGGCGTCACCCGAAGCCTCTTCTTCCTTTTCCTCTTTCGGTTCAGTAAATACAAGTATGCCTGGGCACAAGTTAATGTGGCGAGAGTCAGAGAGATCAGCTTGGGGTCCATGGCGAGGCGACGGGTGACATTTGCCGAGTGACTTTGGGGAGCGATTTGTTTGTTTTGGTTTGAACAGCTGAGCGATACCGCTGGACTGAGTCGATGGTTCTTCTCATAGTGTTGGCCGATAGCTGGAAATTTCTGTGACATTCGTTAAAATGGATTGGTAGTTTCATCCCCAAGGTCTGTTTATTTAATTTTTGTTGATAACAATCATTGGTCTCGAAAAATACAAGGTCGAGATTTTATTGTCAATATCAGAATCCATCAAATACACTTTTAGAGCGACTTTTCATCGCAAACGGTTAAAAGTCTAAGATATTAAGAGGGTGAGGATACTAAAGATTTTTTTATTTCTTTATGATATGAACTATCATTATGCGTCTTTCTGATTATGTGAAGGCATTATTTGTTTAAAGGAATTAAATTCACTTTACTTCTAAAATTGTTTACAATCCTAGTTACTGCACTTTCATTACTATTCTTTATTATTATCATTTTTATTTCCGTTTTCTAGTTTTTATCAACATCACTATTGTCTCCCATTCCTCCTACAATTGTCATTGCAAATTCGACCAAAGATGAAAGAGTTTGGCGATTGAAATGTTAAACATTGTTTTCTGCTGGATCAGTGAGCGACCGTAAGATTTTAAAATAAGAAAAACAATTTTAATAGTCATTAATTTCTACATATCTTATTGTATATATAGATTTTAGAAATGAGTAGCTGAATGAATGCAATGATTAATGGAAACGGCAGTATGAGGACAGGGCGTCGTTCAACTAACTGGCTTTATCTGTCAGGCACCTGAGTCAGGTTCGGGATTATCACACTTTTGGCCAGAGCGTTATCTGGGGGATGGGGCAAGTCAGACCTAGCGTGGTCTTTATTTTGATCCTGCCTTTTTCACTTATACCGGCTTTCTGCAATTCTTTTGGAGGTCACATGCTTTGAGGCAAGTCATTGAGGCCAGTAATTCCAACCCACTGGTATGGATACACCTGATTTTTTTTTTTTTTTTTTTTTTTTTTTGGGGGGGGGGTAATTAAGTTTAGAAGGGCATCTGTCTGTGAACTGTACATAAAGTGCTCATATTGTATTATGTAGTGTGGTGTGTATGTTTTTGAGACCTTGTCGGTTTGTTTGTTTGTGCATGGTCGCACGCGTTTAAGAAATTCCTTCTCAGTTTATCATAGGTTAATCCACTATTTCTTATATTTGCGAATACACAGTAGTAGTAGAATATACCGAATAAGGAAACATTTAAAGACAAAACATCGGGGAAACGGTAATGATAATAATAATGATTGACAATAAAATTGATGATTGATATTGATAATGATGATGATTGATATTGATGATGATTGATGATGATTCAAGAAATTGAAGAGTTATCTGTATTAGGATTTCAGGCTGATGAAATAACATTGTACAATGCTATAAATTGTTTTTTAGCTACTTTGATTTTACTCAATATTTTTTAGCAACTTTAAATTTACTCAAACTCATATACCAATACAGTACGGTATTTTCAGATTCAATGAGCCATTCTTTACATGAAATAATTTTCCATTTTGATATAATTCTTTCTTGCTGACCATTATGGTATTAGGCATGGCCAATTTAATTATAGACTTTGGTATTAGGTACTTTGATAATGCAAAAGTATGATTTTTCCCTGACCAGACATTTCTACTATTGCTATTTTTGTCAAGTGAAGATTTTTCCCTACAAGTTTTTGCACAGGCTGGTATTTCCCTGCACATGATTGTGTTTTGGCAGGCATTTGCTTACGTATGGAGATATCCCTAGTATGTTTTGGTGTGAGTGGATATTTCTCTAGTGGTGTTTCAACACACATTAGCAGGTGGAGAAATATACTTATTTCTCCTTTATATAACACATTTGATTCTTGGTACTAATACCTAATGCTTATGTATTTATGTTTAAGTTTTCATATGCTGTTGGGCCAAAGGTTGAATTCTTTTATCTATGACTGTTTACTTGTTCTCTATATTTTGGATATATAGCATTTATTTGTTAAACTATCAATTTTACAGTAATGATAGCCTCTTGGTCAGCCCAATACAGTACTTTTTCTGCAGGTTATTATCACAGGAATTTTTAAAAAGTTCATTATCCACAACCAGCATCCGCACCGGCACTTATGTCAATACATGTCCATTCATCTCACTTATCCTTAATTGATTCCATGGTATCCTTACACAGCACCCTGAGTTGAATCATACATAAACATTTTCCTTCTTCCCACTGTGAGAAAAAGTAAATAGTAACAAAAACTGAAAATAAAATCAATTAGTAGTATAGTTGGGAAATGTTTGTCTGGGAAAATGTCAGACTTCCTGATAATACATTCTCCTGTGCAAATTGAGTACAAATATCTTATGTGTACATGCTGTACATCTTCCTAAGTAAGAAGTATTATTACACTGTATGCGAGGCACAATGGTACATCAGTAAAATGGGTATATCAAACAAACGTTATCATCTTTTTATGTTTATTCAAAAATGACTTATATTTACCTCATCAGTTTTAAGATATTGTATTTTCATATCAAAGGCTATGTTAATAGATACAACCACTGAGGTTTGCCACTTGAAGGAACATGAGTCCTAGCAACCCCAGTGCTAATGAGGTCATCTATATCTACTGCATTCCCATGCATTGCCTGCTTGTGTTGTCCACTCTCCAGTCACTGACAGAGGTTACCCAAGGAAACCAATTTATAATTTACATATTTACTTCTAAAGAGTAAAAACCTATTCCTTTACCTTAAGAATTTGCTAGTATGCAATATTATTAAGCTTTCTAGAAATGAACCGAACAGCAAGTATGTATCAAGTAATCTTTCTTCAAGATATTCAGTGGCATAAATAAATGGATACTTAAAATTTTAGCCAAATAATTGGTGGACAGCAGTGCTTCTACCATAGTGAATTTCTTGTGAAATCCAAACAATAATGTACATGAATTTTAGCAAAGGAATAATAAAAAAGATCTTGAGAAAAAATAAATACAAACAACAGTCTAATAAACTAATAAATGAAATAATTTTTTTGAAGTGATAGTTTCTCAAGACTGAAAAAAGTTGTGAATGGCAAGCACCTGATTACATACATAACACTATCACCAATTGCGGCTAAAGTATTTACAAATATTTAACAAATATTCTCCAGTAATTCTTTCCTTTCACAACAAGCAAGCATATGCAGGAAGACTTGACAGGACAGGAAAAGAGGGAAGGTTGTTGCATAGGCACTGGCAGCACATACAGTCGTGGAAAAAGCAAGAAAGCATTGTTGTATTGGCTGGTTCTTGGTAATACCTGGCTGTGATTTGACTTCCACCTTGATTACTTACTTACAAAAAGGTACACGACTAAGAAATACACCGAACATAACTCTTTCAGCCTTATCAAGGCATGGTTCTATTACACTGGATTGTTCTGTTGCCACTCAATGCTTTTATCACTTCCAAATCTAATAGAGATTATCAGACCTTTACATTTAAACAAATTAACAAATAAAAAGGGCATGAGAACAGAGGGTTCCTATTCTGAATATTGTATGATGAACAAAAAACATTTTTCAAAAACAAACGGTAAAACAAAAAAACAAAAAACAATACATTGCCGAATAAATCATTTCAGGAGGAAATATCTTCTATGTTTCATATTCACCCCTAAATATGATAATAATAACTATCAGATCTAAGCTATCAGATCTCTCGTTGCATCCACCTGAACAACACTAAACAGGAGCCTATACTTAGGTGTTACAAATACAAATGTCAATATTCAAAATAGACTACCCATCAACCAACATATATTTACATTCATAACAATGCTTGGCCTAACTTTATTACCCAGAGCGTTCATTGTGTAAAAATCTAACTCTCTACCTCTAGCTTTGTTTCTTCTTCTATATGAACTGCAAGAGACATACAGCTTCGGGCATAAGGTAATTCAGTACAATGATAACATTGTGCTGTTTCTGGTTTCTCATTTTTTTATATATATTATTAGATCTTAAAAAATATTCAGCTCCTTGAACCTTTCAAGTGTCAAGTTACTGGGAATGAAAGTTACCAAATAAATTGAGAGATGAAAATTCAAGGGGGCAGAAAGGGGAGAGGGAAAGGAGGGAGGGAGGGTGGGAGGGAGGGTAAGTTACTTGCATGGTCCAGCACCATCTGAAATGGTCCATATCACATTGTTCACACTAAGTAAGGAAGTGTTGTCTTAATGTTTTCTCCCATGCTTGAGACATGAGAAATGCATTCATTTAGATTATGATATGACTACTTTTTTTCTTTTTTTTTCTTTTTTTTTTTGATGTGGTCCAATTTTAACAAGGACAAGAGTACATCACTCATTTCACCTATATTACATACATACAAATTTCCATTATTATATATAAAGATCATGTAGGGCACAGTTACCTATTTATTTCTCCAAAGACAATACTATTTTATGTAGTAAATGGAAATAGAATGTGAACTCATCAAAACCTGAATTCACATATTTCACAGGCTTCTAAAGTAATAATAATAGAAATAATAATAAAGATGATTGTAATAATAATAAAAAATAATAATAATTGTGATTATAATATTAATAACAATAATAATAATAATATTTAATAACAATAAAATCAGTAAAGTTTTTGCATCTCAGAAGTTTGTCAAATTTGTGTAGCAAAGCAATAGAAATGTATGACATAAGCCTATGTATAAAAGAAGAAAAAAATATGAAAGGAAATGTGGGAGTAAATCTCTATAGGAAAGCAAGAGTGTGAAGATGTGTTGGTCCTTGGACAGATTGTTTACAAGTTTTCAAACTGATCTACTCGTCGCTTGGTGTTGCCCTTGCGGATTTCCCTCAGCGTCTTGTACTTGTCTCTGCCCTGTCGCACATTCTCCTTGTGAATTTTGTCCATGGTGGTTTCCTTTTCAGTATCTCGTGTGGACTCAAGGTCATGCTTGAGAGCCTGCAAAAAATGGAAATTATTAATGATTAATAATAATCAAAGCTTTCTATTTTTATCTGTAACTAATACATACCTCCTTTCAACCTCTATATAATCAAAATAAATGTATGGCACGTTCACTGAGCCAATAACATGAAATATGATTACACAATTTCATAATGCTTCCACAATACCTTAAGCTGGTTCTGAAGTCGCTCATTGCGCTCAGCAAGAGTCCTCCTTTCCTCCACTGGATCTTCAATGGGCTCGTCTCCAATGTAGAGGTCCTTGGAGATGTCTCCATTAGGGATGTCATCATTCTCCTCAGTGTCTTCCTGCTCAGCTACGTGGTGGTGCTGAGGGGTAGAAGAAGCAGCCAAGAGAGCAGCAGTGGCTTCCTCTTGTTTCATGCGAGCTTCCTCAACCTCTTGCTGTATTTCATAAAGAAGACATATACAATGGATTAGTCAGTGCAAATGGGAGAATTTTTCTTTATATATTCCCGTAAGTTTTTTTTTCTTATTTTTAAACATCCAACTAAAAACTGCAAAGTATTTAAACTCTCTCCTACTTCTGTATCCCAAAATTTTTCTTCCTCTTTTATCAATATTAAAAAGTGTATATGTTCACATAAATAAAAATACTCCAAACAAAAGAAACAAAAAAAGAAAAACTTCCTCTGTAGTCCACTTATGAAAGAATGACCTAATTTCCTCAAGAGAACCTGAATAATCGTATGAAGTGCATGCTCATTTCATTAAGTTCATACTCAAGATTCAAGTTCTAGGAATTAACATTCACATATCATAACTTGGAGAGCTTTATGATTTTGCAATTTAAAAGCACTGCAAGCTTATTTTTCTGCTAATTGCTATGCCTTGAGAAGAGGAGGCAGGTAACAATATTAAATTAAGTCTTTTAAACAAGAGAACAATTGATTACTGTTTAAGCTGGATCTCTAAGGTTGTTCCTATCAGTTCCCTTTTAATTATTTGAGTTTCTTTCCTCACACATAAAAAACAAACAATAAAAGTTAAATACAATATAAAACAGAAAAATGACACGAACACAATTTCCCAGTAAAACTGTACCTGATCTTAAGCATAAGCTTTTTTCCTATGGCAACATAGTCCATAATTGTATAAACATACTGTCCATGCCATATATATATAGTCCAATAGATATTATTCAGTTTGAGAAACATGCTATGTTCACAAGTGAGTTATCATGCCCAGTTCTCAGGAAACAATTCCCTTTATGTGGTAAACCCCCCTACATCCATCTACATGTTTTATCCTATGATGGAGAATAATACAAGAGTATGTTTGCCTCAAGTTCTGATAATGGCAATCAATGAACCAATAATCTCTGAAATATATAAAAATCTGACAGCTATTACAAATGGGCAAAATACCACAAAACACAAGGGTTAATTTTTTTTGTGTATTACAAAAATACTGAAACATGGGTGGGAAAAAATAATCACACGTAACCAATCAGAGGGACACACATGTTAACAGAAGGATAGGTTGGGTTTGTGGAGAAAATAATAATAATAATTCCATGCAGAATAACAGATATGCACCACAATGCTTTACGGCAATAGTGGCATTTTATTTCCTACCCAAGTCTGTTTATAAAAAAAAATATGTATCTTTTTTAAAGGTCACAGATCTATCAAAAACGACCTCTGCAAACATCACACTGGTTACCTTACCACCCACGCCTACCCTTGGTTGTCCCTCAGAAAGCCGCAGTTTCAGCATCTTATCGTAAAAAAAATCCAGTTCATGGTCAATTTTCTCTTTGAAATGGCATACTGTTTCTTTGTTCCTCTTTTAGTTCATACCATTAAATATTATGGAATGATAGTTATTCCTCATGATATTCTTGCATCCATACAATGACTATAACACAGGAACATGAAAACCAGCACATATACACAAAATCCCTGACAAACAAACAAATGTTGAAGTATATCCTTATTGAATATCATTATTCAATATTTCCTTGTCTAAATCATTCTGTTTCATCATTTCACTCTGATTATCGCTTAACTAATAATATAAATTACAATTACTGAATTAATCAATCTATCCCCAGTCATTATAACTCTTCAATGATATGTCCAAATATATATTTTATTCCTCTTTAGATTTTTTTCTTATTTACAAATATTGAGGTAAAAGACAGAGAAATAAGAGCTATATTAGCTGTCAGTCTGTCCTATATCTCAGAATCAAAGTGTGAAGAAGCAACATGTGAGAAATATAAATAAAGCAGCAAAAAGAGACATCTTTCCTTCCTACCTGAAGCTTTTTGGTCTCTTCGTCCTTCAAGTTGACTTCTTCCTGGATCCTGCTTACTTCCTCCTGTTTGGTGCGGATCTCTTCCTCCAGTTTGAGCTTCTCTTCCGCTTCCATTTCCTTTGCCTGTTCGAGACGGACCATCATATCGTGGAGTTCCTGCTGCTTGTTCTCAAGCTCTTCCTTGGCTGCCTGCAATTGTCTCAGCTGTTCTTCCAGTCGTCGGATGGTTTCCTGTGCTTCCACCAACTCCTTCTGCCTCCTCTCCATCTCCTCTTGCATTGATTTCAGGCGTTCTTCATATTCTTTCTGCTTCTTCTCTGCCTCCTCGCGAAGAGCAATTTCTCTAGCCAGCTTTTCTCTGATGTCAAGAAAGTAATAATGAATTGAAACCTGAACTTCTGTGTTAATCAAACCATATTGATGATACAAACCTACAAAACTTGGATAAAACTATAATTTATCTTTCAAAGTACAGAAAACCTTTATGTATTTCTTTTGAAAGATAAACTTGCACAGCTGGATGCAAGCCCTTCTGACAACTAACCTTTCTTGCTGCTTTGCTAACTTCTCCTCACGAGCTTGTGCCTTCATTTGCTGGACCTCAATGGTGTCTGGCTTGCGGCGACGCATGTACAGCTCATGGTTGCCCATGCAGAGAGCAAGGATACGCTTGTTGATGCGTAAACGAGGGGCAAAGAAGACAAAGTCTGGGGCTTTCTTGTCAATGGGTTTGATAACGAATTTGCGGTCATTGAAGGAGATATTTCTGATTTCAGACCATGGGAAGCCAATCTTGGGAGTTAACCTGAAATCCAAAATTTAAATGAGTCTTCCCTCTTCCTTTAATCCTAAACCTCCTTAGTACCATTACTGATATAACATACCACAAGTCTTGCAATTTTGGTTCTAAAATTCAGCATCCCTTCTAAACTTACTTGTCATCCTTTTCATAGATATTCAGACCAAGAGCATCAACGCCTAGCCACAGCTCAGTGCCCTTCTTGTTCTTGATGTCAAAGTAATTAACTCCGTACATCTCCAGATCCTGTGCCAATTTAAGGTATTCCATCATGGCATCCTCTCTGAAATAGGTTATATAGTAATATAGTGGAAATAATAACCATAATAAAGTCATCAAAAGAAAAAAAAAAAAACAGTATGATACCTCTCTGAGTAGCAAAGATATATTAATGGTGAACCAGGCAAAATAACTATCAAAATTATACTATTACAATTCTCTGTACAGCATTCAACAGAATATTTCATGTCATTCAAAATTCGTTAATTTCATTATCTACAAAAAAAGGGAGAGGGAGAAAGAGAAGACCACAATATAGCAGGAAAAGAGAGAGAGAGAGAAAAAAGACAAATCCTGACATCCTCTACCTGAGCATGCCCTTGTGTTCATGGTACCAGGTGATTATCCTCTCTTCCCACTCCTCACGTGTCAGCTTGTGCTGGTCCATGACACGCTGGGGCAGTAACCGGTCATTTGCCAGGAAGCCTGGTTTGTGAAGGTCTGAGCCATGGTCTCCATACTTGGCCTGCACTGCATATGAAGCCAGGAGTACTGACGTCTCCGGGGGGCAGTAGATGTCATCGCTCAGGATAGCATTCTTCACTTGCAGGTAGAACAGACGCTGTGGGGCAGAAATTATATTTCTTTTGAATAATTCCAGGCTTTGTTTTGATGTTTATGCCATCTGCAGAATTAAGTAGTTATTGCAATCTGATAACCTGCTGGGCAAATTAATTTGTACTACATTTTTCAACATGAAAACATTTAATGTAATGAATAAGACCTTTTTCTAAATATGAACTTAATGAAATCTTCATAAATATATTAAGAAGAATGAAGTATATTCTACAAATACACCTTTGCAGGTCTTTATGTTTGATGATTTTTAATAAAGTCATTAAAGGGATCTTTCACTGTAATCAAAATGTAAGAATCCCTAGTTAATAACAAATGAACATACAGATAGTGAAACAATTGTGGAAAAAAAAAAAAAAAAAAAAAAAAAAAAAAAAAAAAAAAAAAAAATATATATATATATATATATATATATATATATATATATATATATATAATATATATATATATATAATAAAACATAACATCACACTGAGAAATACAGCAAATTAAACCAATGAAATCAATGCTAAAAAGCAAAAACAAAAATAACAACAACTCTCCCAATACCCAAATCTCTTCCATCTAACGTCTCCCATCTCATGAGCCCTTACCAGTGTAATGTCCTGGATGATCTCCTCGGCCACATCCTCTGGGTAGAATTTGGCTCTGAATTTGAACTGCAGTGGCGTCTCCTTCTTGACATCTTGTGAGAGAACCTATGGATAAAATAAGATGATATTAGTTAGCTATTACAAGAAAAAATTGCTGACTTCTTATCCTGTTAAAAGGTTTTATTTATAGTGTACATACATAAATACACAATAAATATATCTACAGTTTTCTAAAATGAGTATGCAGGTAATATGTGGTGTACAGTGAACAGAGATAAGAAAATAAAAAAGAAATGTCACAATTCAAATACTGCACGCAGTAACATCAGACATGAAAGATGTAATTGTGACAATATTTCAAGTATGCAAAGCATTAACACATTTTAGGTGTTGTAGTGGTGTATCATAAAAAAATAATACTGGTAATGTATTATTTTTAAATGTGTAAATGGCATTGGAAGCCAACTTTTTATTCCATTTAATAATGTAATCTGAAAATACCAGAAACACAAACACTCTGAATTAATAAATCCACATCTGACCAACAAAGGTCAGCAATGGCATATGATATCAAGCCCACAGAAAGCCACAATTCATAAAGCAAAAAGTCTAGGATCATCTTCCACAAATAATACAAATAAAAATATCAATCATCCTTTTCAGCAAAAACAAAAAAAACAGAAAAACACCCAAGAACACATAAATCCTAGAAATTACAGCATCCTTTTATGGTGAACAATTTAACATAAGCTCTAAAAAATGAAGCCTCCTTGCCAAGAAAAGATATGATCCACAAGAGCAGCCAAGTGCGAGACACAGCCATGCATACAGTGCTGCGGTAATTGAAGTTCACAACCACTAGAGCTGTGGGAGAACAAAGGCTGTTTATCTATAATCTCCTCCATTGTTCCGTATGCTACATAAACACCACCCTTGTAACCTTGGATGATTGAGTTGACTTTAGCTCTTACTTATTATGCCCACTATGACACCTGTTCAAAATTTCATGTATAGGCCAAAAAAGGAAAAAAAATTTCATCAAAAGGAAGAAACCACTTTAGCAATAGGGAAGGTTTTGCACTTTCGACTTACGTGGTGGTAAGTTATCTTTCAATTGCTTTAGATACATTCATTTGGGCTTGGTTAACTTTTATAATAAGTTCTTTATTCCTCAGCTCTGACTGATCAAACAATAGAGGTGCAAATGTTTGGAAAAAAAAAACAAAAAACATACAACACATATAATGCATAAAAAGTTTCATATACCAGTTAGTGCACCATGCATTTTCATCATAACAATGCATCTGAAATTATCTACACTATTTTGTGTTAGAAGCAGGAACAGTCAGTATACATTTTCCTTGCATATAAACAAACAAAAAGGAATAAATGACAAGTACCATTCCTTTTACTTTCCCTTAATCTACTCCGACATACCCTGTACTAGACTATTTACCTCCTTTACTCAAACTAATATACAAATACAGATAGACATATTAATAATGTATTGCCATCTGTAAAACATCTTAATATCTATGATTCTAACCTAGCAATGTTGCAAACATGATGCTATTGAATAAAATACAAAAATGTTAACATAAAAACATTCACTTTTCCCAAATTCATAATATCCCTTATGATAATTCTTTTAATCTAACACTTTTTGTCAGTCCCATCTTTCTATATTTTCCCTATCACCAGAGCAAATAAGATCACAAATACAGAAAAAAAGACAAAAAGGGAAAAAAAGCTAACATTGGCCAACTTCCCTAAACTAGAAACTAATAGATGTGAACCAATCAAATGAAGCTTGTGACATCCACAGAGATAACTTTCCTCTAATAAACAAACATACCTTTGTCAAAGATTTGAACTTCTGAAAAAGGAATTAGCAGTAAGTTCTAAGAAATGTTATTAATCAAGACCTGTGTATCTGGTGCATAAATGACAGTTAGTGCAAATTACAGAAAACAAAAATGAAATAATATAAAATAACAGTACATTTTCAAATTCATTTAATATCCACATTCTAAGGACTATTTCTATCATTCTCAAAATAAACTCCCCCGAGTCACATAATTCACCTATTCAACCTAACTGCCATACTTCTGAGAATTACATTTCTGAGTAACAACATACCTACTTACAAATTCATCCAAAAAATTCTTTGGATCATTTTGCACTCAATATTGAAAGGAAAAAATCCTATATCTAAATTTGTAAAATAGCTATGAATGCAGTTTGAGTAAAAAATATACATCTAACAACTGCTGTAATACAATAATTATAAATATTACAGGAAGCACTAGGAAAGGACACAAGGACTACTATTTCGTTATGAGACGGCTTATACACCCTACTTTATCACAGTGTGTACATAAAATGGTTTTAAAAAATACTGCAGGATTCAAACTACCCAAGCCTAAAAACAGGGGCCTCTTTCTCTGGCAGTTTGTGCTTCCGACTGTCTACAGTCTTACCCAGTGTACATTAAACTTAGTTTTGAACTTAGTCCTTGGGAATCGCCATAAGTAGTATCCAACACGCCAGGTTAGACTCTGTTGGCGAAGACATTTGTTAGCCAATGAAGCTGATATTAGGTCCAATCTTCTCTAAAAAAGTACTCCACTAGGTACCTTGATCAACAATCAAAGCACATAAAGCCAGTGTCAAACAGCACCAGAAACCCCTTCTAAGCCAACATTCAAGACCTTAAAAATAAATCTGTAAACATCAATTCATAAAATACTACTACCAAAGAAACTTCTTTGTAACTCTTTTCTTTTTTTTTAGCGACATCCAATTACTAGTTTCTGAAATAACCCATGCAAAATAGCCAAAAGACGAGCACACACCAAAGCAAAGGGCAAAAGAAAATGGCTAAATATCTGTCCATACACACACATACACATACATAAATATGAGGAAAAACAACACAGTGAACATTAAAATTTATACAAAGATGGCAAGGTTAACAGAGTATCTGATATAGCATCAACTGAATAATAATAGCTAAAGTGTAAAGATAAAATTGATATCCAAATCTTGAAAAATTAGTTCACAATACACTAGCTCTGCAACCATCATAATAAATCTCTTCAAAAGCAGCATTACTCAAGATGATGGATGTAAAAGGGTAAAGCTGAATCAAGCAAAGAAAATTATGCTAAACTGGACAGAATTCCAAAGATAACCCATTCCGAGATTATAAAGAATAAAGGAAGAATGGACAAAACTGTTAGGAAAAAACTACCAAAATGATACAGTATTCCTGACACTCTTATGAAATTGAACAACTAAATAATGAGTTATTAAAAAATAAATACTCCATCATCTTTTTAAACTTTTAGTTGTAATGCAAGAGAAATGAATCCATCTTTCATAAACTTAGATTTGGTGCAAATGTAAAAACACTATCAAAAATCAACCTACATGTCAGAACTTTTAATGTCTATTTGCTCTTCTTATCCTAACAATCAAATAAGATAGAACTTGTAATATCAATAACAATTAAAAAACAAAGGATAACAAACTTTCCTAGCTGAAGAAGAAAAGCAATAATAAATAAAATAAAATAAAATACTATAACAAATTACAATATAGAAAGTGATAAATCACCTTATTCACATAATCCTGTACACAGTCTGCAAATAAACTTGTCAATAGAAACAGCACCAAATTGCCATTCCCCTTTACCAGTAAATTATTCCAGACCTCAAGCACTATCTCTATTACAAGATCATTAACATACACTTCAGTAACTACTCATTAGAGCTTCTAAATTCCCCAATGGACCATCAGCTCCCCTCGGCCACATGGAGGGCACTGTGTCACATGCACTTGCTAATACTGGTGACGAGCCATTGTAACACAGCTAATGAGAACAGAGACCTTAATATATTGCAACAATAAGGGGAATTTTTTTGTGTGTAATCATATAGCTATGTGCATGAAGAGGACAGGGTTGAATTGACTTAAAATGATATGAGTAATTATGACATGATGCATTTCAGACATTCAAACAGAAATGCTTATATACATGTCTGATTCAAAATATAGTATTTTTACTAACTTTTCTGAAAGTATCAATACTTTTAAGGGTAAAAATTAATGCAGATGGAAAAATACAGGCAAGGGACTCCTAATTCATTACAGATGAAGATACAGAAATGAATTTAATTATGTATTACTATGTCACGCAACTGATTCCTTTACTTTAGCCTTCAAGACTTCAAGCCTAATATCAATCTTTTCTAATTTGATAATAACATACACTTCCATATTTCTAATTTCATTTTGATAACCATAACAGCCATCCCTTTCCTAAATGCAATTACTAAAAATTCATCACCTAACTATAATATAACATTTACCGTCTTTCATTTCCAAACACAAATTTTCTAAATATTTTTTTTTCTCTAACTCATACTCTGTGTGTGTGTGTGCGTGTGTGCGTGTGTGTGTGTGTGCACACGCGCGCGCGTGCGTGTGTGCGTGTATGTGTGTGTATTTGAGAGTGATACTTAATGCCCCTCCAGCCCTCAACCCTCATCACCCTCCCCCCCTCCAAACCTCTAGAAATAAACATCAACATGACATAGCAAACCCCAACCCCCCCTCCTCCTGCTTCTCATTTCCACAACTCATGCCTCATCATGTGCCATTCCCTTCCCTTGTTCTAATAAGCCTAACTCACAGTAAGAGATACATCCAGTGACACTTTGACCAGACAGGTTTCTTATGCCACAATATAATCACATCCGTGTTACATCTCTTGTACAAGTAATGTGAATAATGAAGTCTAGGGATTTTTGTGAACCGAGATATTTAAAACTTAAAAAAGACAACAACAATGATGATGATGATGACAACAACAACAACAAAAACATTAATATCATCATCATAAGCCATTGGGCTAATTTGTAAACATGACTATCTTAAATAGTCATATTAACACTATTTTAAAAGACAGAAGAGCTAATAACGAACAAGAATGTGGTGATATAATGACATAGCGAGTTGCAGTTATACTTCATATACCTAAGCGAGCATGCATGCTTTCCCATCCTCTCTAGAAGGTAAGTATTCAAGCCCTAACCCTCAAACAAGACCTCAAGACCCAAACCCGAGGACGGTAACGCTAGCACCTTCTTGCGGCGGCACCAGCGCGATCTCAAGGCAGCCTTCAACTCATGGCGCCCTTTGTCAAGGCAGCCCCAGGATGACCGCCGCACTTGTTTGTTCCTTTCCCTTCGGCGGCTCCCGTGAGCCCCAAGGCCGGCCCCGTAATTC